GTTCTGACAATAACAGCTTATCCTTTGGTCCTTGTAGGGAATGCCATTGCGATATCTAATGCCAATATTTTCCTCACCTCTTTCCTCCCTTATTTTTAAGCCACTAAGAAGATTGTTTAACTTTGCCCTCTGTAGTTCAGTAAGATCTTGCTTTATTGTGAGATGCGTGCCGATTAATTTGTTCTTATTACGAAGGCATTTCAATGCAAAGGACTGATCATTGAAAATAACCTTAACAGGTCTTGGTTTGTTGTTGGGTTTGCCGAGTCTAATAACCTTGATGGGTGCGACCAAATCAACTTCAAAGACACTTAAAATATCAGCAACACAAGACTTATGATGATCGATACGCTCTAACGTCACAGCAGATTGGCTCTCATCCATGTTGTAAATAATGATGTTTTTGGCACGAGCACTTCTATCTTGCATTTCGCTGTATAAAGGTCAATGTTATCGGATGTTTCCATTAATCTTTGGACAGCCTCAGCATGAGAATTGGCCATTTAATTGACGAGAATGTTATCCTGGACAATATTACGTAGCTCAGCTATTTCCCTCTCCAAATTAACTATTTTGTCTTCCTTTTCACGTTGGCACAACTTCAAATCATCTAAAGCATCTTGAAATTCTTTCTTTTGCTCCAACAAAAGATTGAAAACTTGCGAAGTTGCCGATAAAACGTCTTTATTAGTAGCATTATGTTTTTCTAGCAAGTTTTCGATTTGATTGTTAAACACAATGTCAGATTTTGCAGAGTCGGAAGAAGTGACCGGCACTTTAAATGATGTCGCAAAAGGGACATAACTTGATCCATTTTTAATGTCTGTGAATTCATGGGAAGTCTACTAACTTCAACATTTTTACATGAATTACATTGCCAGTCATGTTGACCCAGTTTGTTATGAAGAGCTGTAATTTTGGTGTAATCGGCACTAGGTATACCTGAGCAAGCTTTATGGAACCATGAACAACAAACAGAACATTCCACAGAATGCTGATTTGTTTTTGGAAGTGAGATCACATAAAAAACAAAGATCTTCCTTGATCGACGACATTTCCTCAGTTCAAGAAAAGTAATTATCAGCAATAAGCAAAGCTAATTTACGACGATACACAACACTTGATCAACGAGTCGATATGACTTCCTTAAGACGGGCAGTTTTTTCCTTCTTCATCATAACCAGGCATATCGAGCCCCTAATTTAATTTATAGTTCACGAGTCCAAATATAGGGGACCGATAGGGTGAGCTGAATGTTCTGACAGCGTTGTCAAGATTTCCTTCGAGGTAGATTTTATGGGGAGGAAATACACGTGAAAATTTGTGGTCACTTGCAGGATTATCCCTATAACTTCACTTATATAGCACCTACAGCCACAATTAATGGTACGGCACATTCACCAACAATATAAAAGTAACTTCTAACAAAATATGATATTAAGCCACAATTAATCCCGTAATATCGATTAAAATTAGCAAGAACATACAACGCGTGATGCGATGTTGCTACAGATATTCTAGATTTAATTACCGTGCGAAAAACCCTGTTTCTTTCCAACTACTTTTGTGCTTAACACGTGTTTAGAGCGAATCTTCCTGGCTTACCTATAGCAACCGGGAGCTAATGATACTGCTGGCGCGCTCTACTGGACCGTGGCACGTCTACTCCACCTCGCATTCTACCTTGCCGACTGGTCGACGAATATGTGCAGGCACCATTTTATAGTATTGCATCAGCATACAGCTTAGCATTTAGAAATAAAGGCCCGTAAAACGAAGCATGAAAAGCTATTCTCTTCGCAAAGTCTCTGTAGGAGTGCCGGAATGGAGTAAGTACATCAGTATCATTTTTCGAATCTATGGCTGTATGACTTCTTCACCAAATTGATGTGACAGCCACTGAACAGCTGTTCTAACTATAATAAAGACTTTTTCATGTGCTTTTGCTAAACGGAAGATGCATACTGAAATAACTTTATTATAAATATAAATAGGAGGCCTAGTGTAGTGACATTGTTATTTTCAATATTTCGGTAATCTAGTAGTGATATATTTGACTCATGGTTCTAGCAGGGTTTAAAGTTAAACCTTCTCTGTGATTGTCGATTTTTGTCAAGCACTGTTAATAAAAAAGCATAAGTGATAACGATTCTATCATTTTTATTATAAAAAAATGTAGGGTGTCCGGGGCAATACCTCAATTTCACCCAAATGCTAGTCTGTAATTTTGGTGATGACAGCCATTGCTATAGGTGGCAGATGGTCTCGTACTGTCGAACGTGGAAGTACCAACCGGCTGGACCAGAATGCACGCGTGTTCCCTCGCTAGAGTCCGTGTGACGTCCTCACCTTTCCCCTGTATCTCCTCTATAGCCCCACGGTAGCCGAAGTTGTTTAGGCCTCAGGGCTTCGGGGTGGCTCAACTATACGCATATAGCTAATAAAGCAAACAATCTCTAGACTGCCACAAATACGTTTAATTCCATTTCGAAGACTGGTTGTTCTTGGCATAATTTTGATGTTTAATAGTGAAATTACACCTAATGCTTGCCAACTAGTAGTAGTATTAGTTATGGAAAGGTGAACCCTTGCAAATTTAACTTCTTTTGCTGACCCCGTTAGTACCAATACAATACTCCACACAAATATCTGTTAGAATTGTTGTCGAGCCTTTCTGTTCTCTTAATGTAGGCCAGGAAGTTTGGCCCTTCGCTGAATACACCTCCTCACTATCAAACATCATGACTTCGAACATATCAGCTCATAGGCTGAATAGGGTTGCCAAAATTCTGATAGTCTATGATGAGAATGATATCACGCTATGATTAGATGCTCATCTCAATGCCGTTTTTAATAAGTTCATATCTTCAAGTTTTAGTAATTTTGGTGTATACGGTACACAGTTTTGTGTCAATCTCAAGGTCTTTCCCGTAAGTATAAAACTTATGCAACGATTATTATAACAGTAACACTCACACCTACAGACCATGGATTTAAAGAAATCTCGTTTGGTGGTATCTTAATGTGCAGAAATATGAATACTATCAACTATAGTTCTATCTTTATGGTTTGTCATTTCGTATGCGTTGCTTGAGTAAGTCATTAGTGATCTGAACAAATATCAGTATAGAGATAGATATAAAAATCAGAATCAAGGTTTAGGCTTATTAGCCAATAAAATTTCTCAACAGTGGTGTGTGGTCTGCAGCGTTAAATTAGGTGAATTGAATTGGTTGATATCTAAATTATGACCAATGCCACGACATTTTTGACGAGCTTTTTAGAGTTCCTTCATCTTATTTTTTCGTTTCCTCGTCATGTTATCCTTAATATATTTTAGGAGAAATTTAGGTATTCTACCACTGGCACTGTTTTGAATAAGTGGTGAGTTATTTCGTAATATTTATCTCAAGTTGATTATGAGGCAATAGGTAAATAACCTAATTATCAGTGAATCAATAGATACGAAAAAATCTAGCAAAATCAAGATTCCAAACGAGGATCGTGGCTTAGTGGCTATCAATATGGCTCTTTTCCATAACAGGAGCTATATGGCTTTTGATTTCTCGATGAAAAAGGGAGTTACATACTTCACCCTGATCATGCTGTCATATATTTCACACAAGTCACCACAAAAAGACTGATCAACAACAATAAAATAATGAGATCTCAAAAATGCGATGAAGATATTTCGTCATGACTTTGTTGTATCTCTATTATATCATATATATTCTTATGTAATATCTTCTATCTATCTATCTCTAATAAGTTTTGTATATTTGCTCTATGTTTTTTGCCAGATGTACACCAATGTATCTAAATGGCCAATAAAGAAAGAAAGTCCGCTTCATATGTCTTAAAAGGGCTGAAAAACAAGAATTGTTGCCTGGTTACTATGTAGCATTTATTCGTTTTTCTGAAAAAAAGTTTTTTTATCATCATTGTTATTCAAGTTTTGAAATCAGGCTATTTTATGGAGGTTTATTTTCCAGAAATACTAATGTGACTAATTTTTGAATGCAGACGTCGTCGTTGAACAATTAGCAAAGATCGCATATATGCTAATGCACTAATTTGCATTAATAAAAACTGGCCAGAAACTTGATATTCGCCATTAACTTGAAATAGTTTTTGGTTTAGCATTCAATGGATCCATTCAGACTATTGATACTATATCTGTAACCAGTTTTTTCATAGTACATCTATTTAAATGAAGCTAAATAAAGAACGCAGGTAAATATATTATATAACCCGAGCTTGATCTTGGGTAGTTTCAGAATAAAAATTGCATTCAAATTTGTATTGAATGTAGTTCCTTCCTTGGAACCGTATACAGTATATTACCAGAACTATTATACAGGGATAGCATCGAGCCAGTGTTGGCAATATCAGTATGTTTTACAGGTTGCTCTACTAAATTTTGGATTTATCTCAGTAAAATGCACATACCATCAAGCATACTTTAGACATATTTCTTTAGGTTGAAGCACCATCAAGGAGAAACAGCGATGATTGGCAAATCCCAGACGCCTGCAGTCACTAATAGTTTATAGTTTTTACCGCATTTTACCTTTCTTAAGAATATATTAATAGTTTTTAAGACGCCCTCATAAATTCAAAACAACTAAAAGCTCGGTCTCTTGTATTTATAACAATCATTTGACAAAAAATCTCGCAAAGGGAGTAGCCAAATAGATTATTTCTCGCCTCTGTATGTTTACCTGAGAGTTAATTGAGTAAATATCCATCAAACGATGAGGTCGTTAGAATTTCTTGCATTTTAAGTCTGGTTCACTGTAGAAGCTGACTGTGAAAGCAGGTGTTTAAAGGTATCATCGATCTTCGTTTCATTCCAATGATTCCAATCGTACATTCTAAATTCCTCAATCCAAATATAACATGTTAAACGGTCTCTCCTCAGCAATTCGGTATTTCTTTTAGTATTGCTTCAGACTGAATCGAAGTGGACACGAATTGACGGTGCTTTCGGACGCTATGTGTGAAAATTCAATCGTAGACATAGGTATTTTTGTTTTCTAGGCTTTTTGATAGATGAGGGAGACAAAGTAGTTAAATGATAAATATGAAGCTGCTTCTTACCAACGCCTGTGCTCTATCAGAAAAACACAGCTGGTATGTTGCAAACGAAGACCAGTACTTGATTTCCATTTGGTACTTGTGAGTGTCTCTTCCAGTAAAGGTAAAGATATAACTGTTACCTGGGTGAAAAGTTTCTCACCATCCAAGGGTAGCATTATCTGCTGAAACCAGAATTTTTAATTTTGAGCCTCTTTGCGACGATATCCTCATCAACAAAACGGAGTCAAGTAGGTTGACCCCTGCCTCATCATTTTATAAGTAATTATATTCGGCACAAGTTATTCATTCTTAGAAATACATTGACTACGAACATGTATAACAAAGGATGTAAATGAATCATACAACCATCAGTCCATCGCCCAACAATGCTTTCTAGCCTACCGCATCATCAACAGTACCGATCATCCAGCAACATGCAATCCAGCACGGGCTTATATTATACTCGAAAACACGCATGGTGGCTCAATATTTCCTGCAGAGAGGGGCGCGCTCATTGAGTCGTCCGGTACATATCCGGTACATAGAAGGTATACATTCATATTTAAACTTTTAATGGTAAATTTACGGGGAAACCTTTGATTTATGAAATATGTATAAAAGGTGCATAAAATGGATTGGAAACGTACCTATACATTAAAGCGCAGGAAAAATACTTCCCCACACCCTCCTACAACCCCTAACATCAAATTTTGGACCTATGCAAAACTTTTTCTGAAAATGATCAGGAGTCTCTGAAACGTCAAAAAACGTAATTTTTACTTTCTTCATATTTTTCTCCTTAACTCCACCGCCTTTCGAACTATTTACAAAATCTAAAAAGGTTTTCCTTGCATTGTAGTAACCTTGTGTAAGAGTTTAATCCAAATCCGAGTAGTACTTTACAAGCTATAGGTGGTCCAAAGATTAGCGGACAGACAGACCGACAGACCGAAGAAAATGAGTGATGAAACAGTGCATTTGTCTAGCTGTTCTAACAATACAAGAACCAAGTCCGGATAGCGTAAAATAAGAGGAAATTCTCTTGGTCAGATCCTTTTTCAGTAGACTGGGGTCTCCTCCAATATCTACGAAATAGATCATCTGTCTCCAGGACTACTAGACCTATGCCGCACTGATGAGCTGCTAATGAGTACTAATTCGTACTCTCTGCTGTTGGAAGTGGTTACAGAGACGGCAAACATGTCTTTCAAAACCTACTACAGCTATCAATGTGACCGATGTTTAAACTTTACCTCAAGGAATACAACAGACTCACTCCCATTAATCTGTTAAGCGTAGATTGGCGGGAGATTTTCAACGCAGCACTCGCGTTTCCAATCGGCGTTGTCGAATGCAGATGACGTGCGCGTGTCTATGCGTTCCTTCCTAATCGCAGCGGTACCATTCAACCATTCACGAGTACCGCCTATCGCGATCGCTGCGGCTGGCTTGCGCGTAGTACCAATTGTTTAAACAATTGCCAGCACGCGCAACAGAGGTGATTACGATGCCGCTGGTTTAACAGCGCAGTTGAGAAGCTCGCGTGCGGTTATGCCCACTTTTCAACAGATGTTTGGAAAGTTTGGGTACAACCGATTTTTGCCAAACGTATCTAATATAACGATTTCAAAGGGATTTATTCATGTGGTTTTGGCCGCAAATAAATATGTGAGGCTACAAGTATCACTCACGACTTAGATCCAGAAACCGCCAAAATATGAAACTGTGAAAAAATTGATACATACGACACGCGAGCTCCTCAAGTGGACATCTTACGAGTATTTTCAAATTAGACGCATTCTGAGCCAGTCAACCATTTTTGAAGCGATGAATGCAGGAGGTTTGATAGTAGGATGTTTTGTAAGTTTGTAAATTCTCCAGGAACATTCACAAATGATGTATTTCAATTCATTCAATTTAAAAATAAAGACTTGCTTAGTTTCATAATTATTAAGCCCTTACATGAAAAACTTGATTTGGATTTTTCTAATGATTGTAATAGCTTTGAAATTTTTTTCTAACATCAGAAATATGTAAACCATTAAAAAATAAAGCATGAAGGCGTTCAAGAATTTTTGTTTGTTTGCTCCTTTATCGTCATTGCCTTGGGTTGATTTCCAATGGGTAACAGTGTTTTTCATAATATGCATGTCTTACAATATCCAAAAAACATAAGCACTCAAATTCGGAATTCTTTGTGGTTATACTCATCGCAAAAGGTGAAATGACGTCAGGAATAGGTCGTCAAGTTTGATACACTGGTCAGTCACCAGAAATGCCTAACAACGAAGATTGTTAGAAGTAGTAACATATCTTTAGGATTCTTGGAAAGTCGAGGTTTCAGAGTACTGGGAACCTGTGGTGCGAGTGTTTTCAACCAAATCTCATTTTGAAATTATAACCCTCAATTGCGAATCCAACCTCCAGTTTGACATTTTTTGTATCCAGGAGTTTCAACTCCCTTGTAAAGCGCCCTCATTATTCCGCATGATGCGGTCATGGACACTGAAGATCATAGGACAGTTTGATATCCCGACCCAACTTTTTATATCCATGGAAGTTCTCTTTGTTGTGCCAATTTGGCTTGTCATCAGCTGCATCGAGTGAATGGCATTTGAGTCACATGTTCTTCACAATGGCTGGGTCAAGAACCCAATAAATGCAGAATTTCAACCTTCACGAATGGCGTACGACGACCGATAGTATGGCTGCTAGGCAAAACAATATCCGTGTTTATAGTATACAGCACACTCGGAAAAATGATCGTTGGTATGTGTTACCAGTAAACCTGTTCCATACATTAAATCAATTTAATGGCTATCATTACTCAAGCATTTTTCATGTGTGATCAATATACGACTATGCATGTTGTCCGTAATATGTATGTTGTTCATATTAATTATAAAGATATTTTCATTATTTCATTAACATGTATATACGTATAGTCTGTCATTAATCGAAACGAACTGTTACTTGAATAATTTTTATCTTTCACACCATGCAGAATGGGAGACAAAGTGTTTAGCGTACCCCTTTGTAATTTTCGTGTTTTCTTTTTAACTTTTTGAAAGATTATTTGGCCGCACCGGCAAACTTCGCGACTCATTTAAAAAAGTTGTAGTCACTAAGTTCCTGAATATAGAATTATTCTTCTGCAACAACAGTTGATATGATCAATCGCCTAGAATCGTTGGAGATGTGGTTCCATAAGCATATGTTTTGGCCACAAGCTATGCAGACCAACGTATAGAACAGAGCAAATGCCTTTCGTAAGCTGCTTGAAACTGTTAAGTAATAAAGTTATAAAGGGCAAAATCGATGGACGCAGAGGGATTGGAATGAAGCTTAGAAAGAGCAGAAATTTGAAGTGCCAATAAATTTCCAGGGTTGCTGGAAAAAGCCACCTTGTTTTTCCAAATTTTGAACTGTTTAATTTCAGTAGAACCAGACAAACCGACATTCATGATACCTTTGTAACGAAGGAGTAGTACCGCTCAGGATTTAATCGAGTTACAGTGAAAAACGGATGCGTGAAGGGACAATCTGGCAGGGCTTTAACACGGCGGCATCATGGAGGATAGTCCAGAGGTAGAAAGTGCGTTGGCATATCGATAGAGAAGAGTCAGAGCTCGTTGATGAAGTGTGGATTGAGTTGTCAAGACAATGTCACAAACCAGTCGGATAATCCTCCTCTGAATCGCATCAAGTATGGACAGCGTACTTGGAGCAGCATCGTCCCAAGCATGTGGATGGTAATTTTGATCCAGTAGTAGTAGTAGTAGTAGTAGTAATGCGGAGGCGAAGCCTTGCACCTAGGCCATCTTTGAACATTTTTACCGACCCCTTACTACCAACGCAACTTGTGGAGGAATGACTATAGCACAGAACTTACAACTTATGCCATAGAGGCTAGGCATGTCCTCCGCTAGTGCCATATCTGAAGGAGAGTCTGTGTAGTTATGGCTGACAACGCTGATTTGTGAAAGCAATCGTGTAATATATTGCGTAGGGGCCCTAATAGTTAAATAGCTATGGAATGACATGCACGTTTTGAGAATAACTTCTGTAAATCACAGGTTTCGCGGGTTCCCCGCCGTATCAGCTCATATGCTATATACTCGAATAACCTTACGAAAACAGAAGTTATTCTCAAAACCTGTAAATTATCAAATAGCTTTCAGACTTTTCGCAGGTGCTGGCGGGTTATTCGTAAAACCTGTAGGCTGACCAACTTTTAGGGTCCTATGCGGAATATTATACGATTTAATTTAGTATCAAAAGAAAAATAGTAATAAGAAAAATAAATCGTCAGTGTATTTGCACTTTTTCGTAGCACCCGTGAAAAACGCGATTTTTAACTTGTGCCTCACATTAAGTTCTGATTGATTTCAACTTTGTGGTAAGACGAAATAGATGACTTTCTGGGAAAGCTCGGCCATGAATCAAATCGGGATCAGAATAAGTGCTAGCTGAACAGCACCAAAATGCATCTCCGGGCAGTGGTTTTCTCCACGTCTTGTATTAGTGAGTTAGATGCTACCACTCCCCTTCTATCCAGCTCAAATGATCACTACTGTTTCTCAAACAACTTTTTTTCAGTGCAAATATTTTAGAATTTTCACTTGTCAAGCTGGAGACATCTCAAATGAAATTCATGATTATGTAGGTATTGTGTACTCTGAAATTATTAACCGTTCAACTTTTTGTATTTACTGAATTCTCACTTCTAGTTCGTTGCAAATATACTTCTAATTTGGAAAGAGACTTATGTGCTGCAAGCACATAATAGGCGCCACACCACCATTTGCTTGATGATCCATGATTGGTATCAGCACTTAAAGTGTGCCATAAGAATCCATCTCTATTTCTTCACACATAGATCCACAATTATTATCAATGAGGCTATTTTTTATAGCTCTATAATTGGTATTTATTGCACATCTGGCATTAACCGAGATAAAAAATTTAATTACGCAAAAAATAGTGTCAGACATAATCATATGGCGCCTAAGGTGCGAGGCACGTTCTGTGGTACGCAACTTAAATGCATAATCATACTCATATACACAACATATAAATACGATGGCCATTATTATGAACTGAATGGCCGCAAGCACATAC